TACAAGATGCAACCATGTGAATTAAGTTTCATACAAAAGAATTAATTAAATATAAGTTTCAAAACTTATCCGATTATTCTTGATTTGATACACGTAAAAGAACTTGTCAAGGAAATCATGAATACAAGGTTAGAAACTTAATCTAGCTCATGGAACCATTGAATGGATTTTAATTAATTCATTTAATTAAAATCTCTAGATTTTAAAAGTTATCCAAGTGACCTCAATTTAATGTATGTTATACAACATGTCAAGACTTGTTTTAAAAACACGATACAAGTGAATTACATGCAAGATACGACCATGAGTATTAAACTTTAATACTAGAAAAATAAGAAATGATAGATTTCAAAACCTAATCAAATATTCTAGATTTAATATATATGAAACTAGATGACATGTACATCATAAATATCAAGTCGAAAATCAAATGGAGTGAATAGTACACTCGGGGCAAATTAATTAATCAATTAATTAAATATTCTCTAGATTTTTAAACAACTCCGATTACTCCCAATTTAATCTATGTTGATGAGCATGCTAGGGCCTAATATAATATGCTAACACATATTGATTTCAAACTAATTAAGGCCATGTGAATTAATCTTTCACTTAAGATAAATATTAAATAAAAGCTTTAATACTTGTTCAAATGTTCCCATTTTTATACACGACAATGAGCATATCATGGAGTAATATAATACCATACTACATGTTTAAACCAAGTCATGAGCAACCGGGAAAAACAGATCCCGTACAAGAAAAATAAATAATAAAATCTCTAGATTGTATATTTAATCATGCCTACAAGTTGTATAAACATCACAAGCATGTTATATAACAAGAATTTAAACCTAGAATATACCCTACCTCAATTTGAGATGAAATCTCAAAGGCCCACCAAAATAAAAGTGCTCCGAATCCAACGATACCGGAGGGTTTTGTCGGGGACTACACCGGGAACAAGAATCCGTAAGAAGCCCCATGAAAATCCAAACTTAACTCTCAACCCGAACTCAAGAAATGGTAGGAAATGAATTCTAATAAGGAGGAATGGTAGAGCACGTCGAGAGGAGCGATAAACGTAAAGGCCGAAGAGATTTCACTTAGGAATTCAAGTGGAGGAGGAGGTCAAAGGGTGGCAGCCAAGGAGCTTCCATGGCTGCCGGCCAAGAGGTGGAGAAGAAGAGTGAAAATCTGAATTTTCACTTTAGGGCATCCTATTTATAGTTAGTCTCAAAAACTGCCCCAAAAGGGCCCCGTCGGGTCTGGAAAAGTGAACTTTGAGCAGACACGCTCAAACGGAAAAACTCCGTGAACAAAAAAGATTCAAAAAGAGAAAATATGAACAACGGAAGAAACAAAGTCAAAAACTGAGTCCCGAGCAGAAAGTTATGCCCCGAACAAGTTCGGCGGCAACTAGGTCCAGAAACTCTGAAACTGGAGAAAAACGACCAGAACGGAATTCTAAGAGTCCACGACTCAACGAAATGTGAAAATGAATCTCGTACGAGGATCTAGGCTCCAGACGAGACATTTTGCAATAACTTTCGTTAATTGCACAATGGCCCCTACAAAAAGGGTTAACTGCGAAACTGCCCCAAAATGAAAATATCTTCCCAAAGATATTTTCTTAGATGCCCCTGAAATAAAATATCTTCAAAAGATATTTACGAAAAACACCCCAAGAAATGACAAAGATTCTAAAGAATTGTGCATCCATGCCCCTATAGGCAGCGGAAGCAACCAGAGTACTTTCTTGCAAAAATAAAGATACGTATTTCGAGAAAACCACTCAAGATGAAGGCACGTGAAGTCAAAAACCAACTCCGAGCATGAGAACTGAGGTTGTGCCAAAAATTGACAAACGGGAATAAGACAGAATAGGAAAAAAGACGAAATAGTGCATAGTGTCCGGAAAGTAAAAAATGTGGAAATGACTCGGTCCTTAGAGGAAGTTGTCAATTCATGGAAAAGAGTTTCGGAAACCACTTCTGAGCACTCGAGATGACACTAAGCGACAAAAAACAGAGCTCAGAAAAGAAAATTAAACGAAAAAAATTCATTCGTAAAATTTCAGGAAAAAGAAAAGGCAAATGACCGGGTCGTTACAAAAAATATTTTTCCCCCTTTCTATTTCCCAATAAATGCATGAATGCTTGTACTTCAATTTATCAACCCAACCATATAACTTTTACACATGCTATACAAGGCAAATTTATAAACTACATGATGGAGCTCTCATTTAATATTAACTTTGTATAACTAGAATGTAAAATATAGATTGAATTTCATATAAACATGTAAGCATGCTAAATCACCTTAAAACAATTAACAAGTAGTCACATACATTACATACTTATTATTTTAAACAAATCTTTGCAAGAATTAGCACCAATTAAACATGTTAGGCATCACTTTAAGCTAGAAACTCACAAAAATACAAAAATTCATGCATTAGAACACCCTTACCTCAAATGAGAGAAAAAGCCCCAATTTGAGCCCAAGAACACTAGAATTTCGAAATCCCTAGAGTGTATCAAATGATAAATTGCTTATACTCACACGTAAATCTCACTGAGCTCTTCAATTTACCACAAACAGTACCCAAAAATTTCAAGAATGGAAGGAGGAATCAAAGTTCGAAATTGTAGAAGAAAAAAAAAAACAAAAAAGAAAATGGAAGCTACTAGAACTAGACGCAGAGAGAGGAAAATGACGCAGTCAATGGCCATTAGGCCTTTTGTGAGATTTAATATAATGGTGGGGTCCATTTCTTTTTTTTTCTTTTTTTTTATTTAAAAATAAATAAATTTTTTTTTATAACTTTAACATATATATATATATATATATATATATATATATATATAAAATCATAAAACATAATAGGTGCACCAGTCATCCAGTACATTGAATATCTTATCCCGACAACCAAAAGAATTTCTTAATTATTTTCTTTCTTGAAACTATTGAAATTAATTTGTAACTTGAATCATGATATCATAATATGTTTCAATTTTTATTTTTGTTTGTTCGGACACCCGTTTTGCTATTAAAAATCATTTAATAAGGTAATTAAGGTTCTTCTCTCAAAATAATAAGGTGGTAACTGATGTGTTACAATTAGGAAGTAAGTGCACTTTCTCGCATTTCAAAGAAGGTGGACACTTGTTTCTTGCTAATGAGACAATTTAGGATGTTAAGTTTGAATAAATATAGTGTTGCATATACTCGATTTACCCAAAAGATTACATTCACACTTCATGGTGTCATCTAATCGTCATGAATAAAAGACGTTGTACGCTTAAATTCTCTACCCAATGAAATTTTCAACTGCATTGAATTGTGTAGGCATAAATTGAGCTAAAGTCATGAAATGGGCCACTCCTAATATCCTCGTGACTGACCTGGTACTTCCCATCATTGACTGTTCTTTTCATTGACTACTCTTACTTTCCACAACAACCTCCTCCTCTTAACTGGTGGTTCCATTTTTTTATTTTATTCTGATGATGGCCAAAACACGGTGACCATATTTGTAGAAATATTGCCAATGGATATCTTTCCTTTCATCATCTTTTACTCACTAATCTCATTCTCCGTCTTACAATTCTCCACTGCAGCTGATACTTTAACTCCATATCAATCAATCACCAATGGTGAGAGTTTAGTATCCTCAGGCCAACGCTTCGAACTAGGCTTCTTTTCTCCCAGTGGTTCCAAGAATCTGTACTTGGGAATATGGTACAAGATTTCTCCACAAATTGTTGTGTGGGTGGCAAACAGGGAAAATCCAATTACAGATTCATATGGAAATTTAACTATCAACAGCGATGGCAATCTCGTGCTATTCAATGCCACAAAGGATGTCATCTGGTCCACAAATTCTTCAACGACTGTGCAAAGTTCATCCGTTGCACAGATACTAAATTCTGGAAACCTTGTCCTCAAAAAGAAGAGTACTGATGCTGATACAGAAAGTAGCTACATATGGCAAAGCTTTGATGTCACGTCCCACAATTCCAATAAAATCCTCGATTTATTCAAAATCAGATACATCAAAATACACTCAGGATCACAAAAAAATGGCCTCCTTTATACAAAGTCGTTTTCCTCAAATATACAAAAAATTCTCCAAATAAAAAAATAAATTCCTGTAACGCCAACTCTTCAACCTAAGTCCAAATCTAGCAATTCCCGTCCATCTTCGGTACCTGAAACTGGAGGGTGGTGAAACAAAAGTTTCAATAGAAAAAATCATAACAAGAATCTCATGAAGGTTTAATAAAACAGCTTCACAACATAAACATATATATTTAATACATATGCATTTAATTAAAAACATTTAATAAAAACATTAAAACAAAATCTCCCCATATCATTCAAGGTATAGAAAACCCTACACTGAAAAAGAGTTATCATCACTGAATCATCAAAGCTTCAAACTCCAAGACCTCCCCTGCAACTATGGAACCTCTCTGTCTTTATGCTAACTATCATTCTCGGCTCACTCTTTCAGTCTCGAAACTCTCTGTCTTCACTCTATTTTTCTCTCTCAAACTTCTCAAATTTTCTATTCTGTCATTAAATGCTCACAAGTCACAAGAACGCACCCAATATATAGACAAAATATACCGACCTCAACTCACCAACTGCTCTCCACCGACTCCATCTCCATACACACCTCAATCTACTCACCACACACTCAAAAGTAAAATGTCAGACAACATCATGTCTTTTAAGCAAAACAGCCTCCGTGACCAACCTGCTCCTCCTTTCTTTTCATTCCTTTAATCCCACATACAAGCACCCAAAGTCAAAGAAATTTACCCATTAAAATCACAAGTGGAACCCGTGAATTACCAATACCATTACCCATTCACCAAATCCATCATATCACATATAAATATATATATATAAACTCATCTTACATCCAAATCAATTCCAAGCCATGTAATTAAAAAAACAAAGTCAAAAAGTCTTACTCATTTAATAACTAAGTGGAGTCCACCAACATCACAATTGTGTTTTTTTTTTCTCCTTTTTCCATTTCTCAGCCTACTCTATATACATATATAATATACCTCCATATAACATATATGTATATATATAATATAACAAAATTAAATAAAAAAAACAAAACCCATTAATCTCTCTTTACTGCACCTCACGTAAAACAAATTCCTTATTTCCCTTCCATTTCGTTGCTGCCCACTTCCTTTATTATAAATATAATATATATATAAATATATATTAAATTACAAATCTAAATTAAATTTCAAAGCCGACCAACCTTAATAAATAATTAATTTAGATAGTCGAAAAAATAATAAAATAATTAAAATCTAAAAAAATCGAGTCATCACATTTGATTTCCCATCAGACACACTTTTACCTGGCATGAAGCACGGATGGAACTTAAAGACCGGCCTAAATAGATACTAGACATCGTGGAGAGATGCCGCTGACCCATCTCCTGGAGACTTCACTTATGGAGTTGAAATGACTGGGATTCCTCAGTTTGTTCTTCGGAAGGGTTCATCAGAGAAGACGTTCCGCACTGGGCCACGGAATGGAGTTCGATTTAGTGGTATTGGTTGGGGGTCAACCACGGTTTTCAAACACAGTTTTATATTCAATGCAGATGAGGTGTATTATATTGACGAGTCTAGCCATATTTCAAGACTTAAGCTGAATCAAACTGGTATTCTTCAACGCTTCATCCTGAATGAAGGGAGCTCTGAATGGGCTCTTATGAATATAGTACAGAGATCCTTGTGATGTTTATGGACGCTGTGGTGCTAACGGTATTTGCAGAATTAACAATAGGCCAATATGTGAGTGCTTGGAGGGGTTCATTCCAAAATCACAGCGGATGCGTGAGGAGGACATCACTGGATTGCCACAACGAGGATGGATTTGTGAAACTCAAAAATGTGAAATTGCCAGACCTGTTAGAGTTTTGGCTGAAGGAGACTCTGAACCTTAAGGAGTGTAAGGCAGAGTGCTTGAAGAATTGTTCTTGTACAGCTTATGCTAATTCAGATATCAGGGGAGGAGGCAGTGGCTGTTTGATGTGGTTTGACAATTTAGTTGATATTCGTGATTTCGATTTCAAAGAGAGCAAGCAAGATATGTACATACGGATGCCAGCTTCGGAACTCAGTAAGCATACTTGTTGCGATACTATATAATAATATTCTCATTCTGCTGTTACCCTTTTCGATGTCAGCCGTTTGAATCCTTCTATGAATACTCAAATAATTTTGTTTGCTCAAATATTAGTACATAGGTTTCAATCTTTCAAGTAATTATGTCAGTTTCAATTATGCTAATCGATTTTTATTATAATATGGAGGTCTTAAAATGAAATGTTTAGGATTCATGTCTAGATTTTCCTTTATATATGCTTTTCTGAAGGCAAGCATGCCCAACAACTTTTGCCATAAATTTAGACCATGATCAGAAGAAGAAGACACTGGTGCTGATCTGGGATGGTTGTCCTCAGCTTGTTAACTTGGTGTATAATTAAGAAGAGGAGAAAGGAAACAGGTATACCACCTCCTGTCTTTGGTATGATTATTGATACATTTTAAAGCAGTCATTGTCATATGAATATTAGACAATTTATGCACTTGGATGGATATTTTGAACATTTAAAAAAATTTGATTCCTTCTAAGAGTACTAGACGGTTAGTGGAATGGTACAGTTATCTACTTGCATTTATAACACTTCTGATTGTGCAGGTATAGAAACGAAGAATGAAGACTGGGAGTTACCATTTTTTGATCTGTTCACTATTGCAAATGCCACTACGAACTTCTCTTCCACAAATATGCTTGGAGAGGGTGGATTTGGTCCTGTTTATAAGGTTAAATAAGTAATCTGTGGTTTGATATGTAATAAAGAAAAATTGAACCTCATCATTTTAACAATTATTTTCAAAAAATTGTAGGGTAAGCTAGCAACGGGACAAGAAATAGCAGTCAAGAAGCTTTTGAATAATTCCGGACAAGGTGTACAAGAGTTCAAAAATGAAGTTACTTTGATTTCCAAACTTCAACACTGGAATCTTGTTAGGCTGCTGGGCTGTTGCATTGAAGGAGAAGAGAGGATGCTAATATATGAGTTCATGCCGAACAAAAGCTTGGACTATTTCATTTTTGGTCTAGTTCCCTTGACCATTTATCTAATTGACCAATTTCATAGGGCAGTTTATGCATTTTTGCGGTAGAATCCACTGCTGTACTGTAAAAATGATAACTGATTTAAAACTTATATGGATGGAAATGTTGTGTAGATCAGAATGGAAGACAAGAACTTCCATGGCAAAAGTGATTTGAAATTGTTTTGGACATATCAAGGGGACTTCTCTACTTTCACCAGGACTCAAGATTAAGAATCATTCATAGGGATCTCGAAACCAGCAACATTTTAGAATTAGTGGATCCGTGTTTGGAAATTTCTTACATTGAATCTCAAGTACTAAGATGCATTTAAGTGGGTCTACTATGTGTTCAGAAACTGCCAAAAGACAGACCAATCATGTCATCAATTGTTCTCATGTTAGGTAATGAGGAGATGACATTGCCTCAACCCAAACAGCCTGGTTTCTTTGTAGAAAGATGTTCCATTGATGCAGAGACATGGATAGGTGAGAGTTACCATACTAAAAATGAATTGACAATAACAATAATGGAAGCCAGATTGAAGTTTTACCTATTGCATACAACATGGTGTAGTGATGGAGTTGATGCATATAAAAAAGTTGATAGTTCAAGACAGGAAAATAAATTAATTAATAGTTGTAATATATATATGGATGATTTTGTTTTTTAAATCACATACTTCTGAAATGTTAGCTTTGATTGTTATTCTTAAGAATTGGATAATGATAAGTGGGTGGGGTTGATAAACTCTCATTTCTTACCGTTTTAATTTGAGAACTTCCTTTGACATTACACATTTAATTGACTATTCAATTTGAGAATTTATTTTTTATTATTATTATTTAGAATTAAGAATTGAAGTCAACTTTGTGTCTAGAAGATGAACCTACCTCTTTATGAAGGAATTAACTTTAGGCTGTGGAAATTAGTTGAGAAATTGATTGCAGGTTTCAATTTAGTTTCTAAGAAAATGGTGATGTAACTTTTAGGTGTTGGGAGTTGGTTGACAAATTGATTGCATGTTTTCATTTAGGTTATGTTTGGCTGAGCTTTCTGAATGCTTCAAACGGGCTTCCAAGCCCAAAAAGCGCATTTGTGAAAATTTTGAGTGTTTGGCAAAATATTTGAAACGGGGTCCAAAGAAATCGGAAGTCATTAAAAGTCCGTTCCAACGAAGCTTATAAAACTTGCTTTTTAAACTCACGTTGCAGAAGCCAATACCTCATTTTAAGTAAATAATTTCATAGACGATTGTGCCCACTTTTATTTCCTGAAAGTAGTCGACGCTAGATACGCAAGAATAACGATACTACACAGGAAAGCAAAAGAGTTACAGATCTTCATATTCCAATCTTGAAACAATTCTTACGAGTTTGGGAGTGCTGAGTGCTAAATTTATGCAAAGTTAAGGTTTTGAAGACGGATCAACATATTTATGTATGAAAGTGGGGGAGAAGACACAAAGAATACACTCGTGTTATCCCAATTTTATATATTAATATGAATTTTTAGTTTAAGAGAATGAATTTGAGTATTTCTACACTAATCTTCTTAATCTGATTCCAACGTTTGTCCTATTTGCCTATACCATATAGTTCAAGTCTGAATTAATGTTTCACATATGTTGCTCCTGTTGGGATTTATATGCCCTGGCATAGCAAATTCCTATCTGGATTATAGTGACATATGTTCCTGACATATCTGAAATATTTATGATTTATATAATTGGTGAATTCAATGTATTATGTTTCGATTCACTATGAAATTGATAGTGTCCATGTAATTACAAGAAATATTTATATATATGTATGTGATGACAATCAATGCATGATATATAAATAGTAATTATAAATTGTTCATAGTCAGTAATTATGGATGGACTCATAATTAATTAAGACTTGAACTGGATCCGCGTTAGGTTGAGATATATTGCGAGAGCCGTCGTATGCAATTACTCCCTATCACCGTCATGGCATTTGACTCTTAAGCATGAGAAAAGTATAGACTCTTTTATTAATTAATAATTACTTTGATTTGTTCGGCGGATTCTTCGGGATCCTTAGACCGACACTTTGGGTAGTTATGTAATTAATAGTTAGAGGGTTATATTTTCAATATTTGCATCATTGCTACTTGTATTTATTTTGTATTGATTATGGTTGATCACGAAGTAAATTCGAAGGCCTTCGTGTGGTTTTAGACAAAATGATTTATTATATATTTATTTATTTAAATTATTATTTTTCTCTCAAACAAATGTTTTATTGTGATCGAGCCAGAAATAATCAGAGGTACCAAAATAGATATATTAATTAAGTAGTCGGATTGATGGCTTTATTTATCCGATAACTAATTATGCATAGAGGGGTCAAAGTGCAATATTGATTTAGAGGTTATTTATTATTTAATTGGAGTTCAATTAATTTCTTTTAGTGGAGTAGAAATTAATTTATGAATTAATTGAATTGGGTCCGTGGACCGGGCCAATTATTAATTCATTGTAGCCAATAAAATAATAGGCCCAATGGATTCTCACTCATAGCCCAACTTGATATTGGAATCATATTAGATTTGAGACATATGAATTAGAGATGGAGAAGGATTTGTTGTTTCCTTTTCTTTATTTTTATGTTGCCTATAAATATACATGGTCTATGTATATTTTAGGGTGTAATTTTTATGAGAAGGAAAAAGGGAATAAATTTTCTCTCTCTAGAAAATTAGGGTTTATGTTCTCATCTAATGGAGGCTCCCACAAGCCTAGTTTTCCAAGGTCATTCAAGGAGGCTTATGAGTGATTCCTAAAGGCAAGACCATTACCAAGAAGATGGGGATCCATGGAAAAGATGTCTAGCAAAAGGGATCTACAATAAGTGAGAACATTCACTTTAGAGGAGAGATCTGAGGTTTACTCAAACCTTGATGTAAGTATTCAATCTTTTAGTTGAATAATACATCATATTTTATTTTATTTTTTGCATAAAACTTGTCTCTATGTGATGAATCAAGATCTATGAATTTAAATCCCTCGAAAAGTTTTTAAAACTAGCACGTTTCCCAACAGTGGTATCAGAGCATGGTTTGATTCATTACTAGAGATCATGATTTTATGAAAATTCATCATTCATGGATCCAATTTTAATATGCATATATTTATTTATTGATGTATGTTGGTGTATGAATTAATATATTGATATATATTGATACATGATGATGTATGTATAATTGTGAATGGATGATGATATGTGTTTTGTGCCATGGATGAAGCTTATAGGAATATTGAATGTAATTTTATCTTTGGATGAATGTAATTAAGACTTTGATTTAGCCGTTTGAAAGTTCAATGATGTAATTTAATTTTTTCCATTCTATTTCAAATTGTAAATATTTTTAAAGCTATGTAATCTTCGTCAAAGGATGCTATGAAGCTTCAAGAAGGTCCAAGAGGGTTAAATTAGGCTTCAGGAATTTTCTGGGATTTTTTAGAAATTTTTCAGAATTTTTCTGGAATTTTTTAAGGCCTAATTTAATTTCTGGAATTTTTCGGCGATTTTCCGGCGACCGGAGAGTTGTCGGCGGCAAGGTTTTGGCCGGAGATCAAGAGGGATTGATGGGAAATAATCCCATGTGACGCGGCTAATGATAGACCCTCGGGCAATACTTAGAGCAATTAAATGTTAAAAGCTAAATCCATTGGCCATTTAAATTGCTTCTGTCTGTTATTTATTTATTTAACTGATACATGGAATAATTAATTATTTATTGTATTCATGCATTGGATCCATGATATTTAATTAAATGACTTGATTTATATTAATTAAATTATGAAAATTAATTGGATTTGATTACTAATTAATTAGAGGCCACTTATTGGGAAACGAAAAATTATTTTTGTAAATTATTTTTGAAGTGTGCCTCAAATTAAATATTAGTGAATCATTTAAGTCCAAATATTTTCTAAATTTAATTGGATTAAAATCAAGACGTTTTGCATACATTATATCATGTAAATGAATAAATTCAAAACCCTAATTATGAATGATTAAAAATTGAGTGGGAGCGGGGATTTTTATACATTACCCCATGGCCTTCGTTATTAAAACCATTATAATTAGATCTTCAAAAATAAGACCCCACGCATGATTTGAAGAGTCTTAATATTACGAGAATGGTTGTCTCATGAAAATAATAATATTAAATGTTCATTATACTTAGATCTTTAAAAATAAGGCCCTACGCATGATTTAAAGAGTCTAGATTATAATGACAAGATATTTAATATTTTATTTTTCATTAGAGCATTAATAACGTTATACACTCAATCTAAAATCAATAGTGTTAGCTCCCCAACGGAGTGGTCTACACTAGGTGATTTTAGAAAGGCTAAACATAATCGGGAATCATTTCATATAGATAGACAAGGCATTGTCTTAAGAAATATGGAGATGATGGGATTTGCCCGCTAATAGCAATAATGAACTTCGCCAACCGAATAAGTTATTGGTGTATTGGTTATCTGATTTTTCATGCAGTGGTTAAGGGACCCACATACTATTTTAATGGAAGTGCTCACCTAATAGTAAATGAATCTCAACAATAGTAATAATGAACTCCTCCAACAGGATAAGTTATTGACATATTGATTGGTTGATTTATTATGCTACAGAGTCGAGGGATCCGCATTAATTAAAAGGGATTGTTCACCAATAATGATAATGATCTCTTGTTCGATTGAGATTTATTATATTATGTGGTTAACAAACTCATTTTAATTTTAAATATGCATGATAGTATTAATAATTCACCTTGTATATCGTATGAATGCATTTATATTCAGACTGATAATGTCTAATCCATTTTATCTGCTTGCTAATTTCAATGTATGTGGACTTCATTTATAATGACTAGAAAAGGAATTTAGATATTTTATTCACAACGTGGTGGTACAAATGTATTTACTACTCCTAAAACCTAATCCTTTTACTTTAAGATACCCAAGAGAACATTAATGCTTTGAATAAGTGAAATAAGGCAAATGAGATGAATTGGTGCAATATTCTAGAGTTTACCTCGAATACGCTCCAAAGCTAACATTTACATTATTTTATTTTCTTCAAGCATCATGTTAAATGTCAATAAAATGTTTTGGTGAGATTAGATAGAGAGTATGCCAAAGTACTATGTCAGACT